TGCATGTAGCAGTGACATTTACAATCTTCCTGTGGACTAAAAGGCATTATTTCTGTTCAAGAAGCTTGGGGATTTTTTCATGGAAGGGCATTGAGAAAAAAGGAGATTCTATTCTATAACTGGACTAAAAGGCATTATTTCTGTTCAAGAAACTTGGGGATTTTTTCATGGAGGGGTAGTAAGAAAATAGGAGATTCTATTACCAATAGGTGATCCTTCCCTAATGCTTCTGGTTTTATTATGTTTTCCTAAAGCTCAATTCCTTTATACCTCTTCTACTTGGTTCTAACTTTCTAGGTAAGGAAAACATCAACCTTGGGGTTTTGAGGTTTTCTTGCTTTTGGGTCTGGTGTTAGGAAGTTGGGGTGGAAAGCAGGAAAAAGAAAAGCTAACAACAAGGAGAATAAGTATAAAGTATCAATAGAGTTCAAGTCTAACAATAAAGCTTAAAATATGGCTGTTCATCTTTATTATTTCAATCTCCAGAAGGTTTTTTACTTTTTATTTTTTTTGGTACTGGAGATAATTCTTCAAACATATCTGCTGATATGAAAATAGAAATATAGCAAGTTACTGGGGGCCATGAAATTGATTTTTTTTTATTTAATTTTCCTGTGATTTGATTTTACTAGCAAATAATTTTGTGGTGTGTGTTAAGCTGAAGATTAAAATTTTACATAAAACCAGTGAAGGGACAGAACAAGGGAACTTCAGAAATGAAAACAAATCAATCTAATAAAAATTCACCCCATCCATGTGGAAGCCTTTGAGGGAGAGGGAAAAAATGGAGATGTCTCTTTCTCGGAAGAGAAATGAATACTCAGCTTATTCAGGGCCTGAATAGCCCTAATGCTAAGGTATTTTTTGTTGTTATTGGGACTGAAGGCTCAGCTCTTTCTAGTGGAAAGAGAAGTTGGATGACTGAGAGGAGGAGAAAGTGTCCAAAAAAGTATGACCTCCCCCACCAAATGCCACCCTTATGACCTTCGAAGAGAACATTCTGATAAAAGGGCAAGATACTAAAATAACTTTTTTAAACAGCAAAAGATATTTTCAACGTCACTAAAACCAAGCACATAATGGACCTAGTCACATGTTTCTCCTAATTGTTAAACTAGAATATTTGATTTTTGAGCCCTGCTAGTAAACAATAGATGCTCTCATTTGGGGCTGTTGACAGAAGCCTGGCTGTATTCATTCTTTCAAAAGCCAACAGAGTGGGCAAAATATGAAGTGTTTGATTTCAAGTTACAGAAAACGATTTCTGAAGCTGTGAAGGGGCAAATGCAACTCATTGGTCATTTTTCTCAAATTACTCTTTTACATTTGAATATTGGGAAGAGGAAAAGAAATCATAGAAATGTTTAGCTACAAGGGAGTATTGAATCCAAATTTTTATATTTTACAAATGAAGAAACTGGGCACCCAGAGATTATACTTTGAAATGAATGATTTAACAAATAAAACATGTAAAATTGAGACCAGGAAATTAGAAACATCTGTGAAAAATATCATTTGTGGTTCTTGGAAACAAGTGAATGAACAAGAAATAGAATGTGAAAAGGTGCAGGTGGAGGAAAGCATACTTAAAATGCAAGGATTGTACAGTTTGAAATTCCTGAGAGAAATTCACGACCGAGGTAATGCAAGAACACTTTAGGTTTTTACTACTATGTATTATCAGCTGTCTGTATCAGGTGAAGAAATTATTACATGGTTGCAGTGAAGTTCTGGGAAGGGCCAGCTTAGCTATTATGGAGATCATTTCCCACCAGTGATATAAGCAGTGAATTTGTGGGTGATGTGTGTAAGGGCAGGCCTGGACCAGAGCAGGTTTTCTGATCCAGCAGACCGGGTAAAGGAAGAATCCTGGAGTCCTCAGTGGCTTTTGCAGGCTTTTATTGGGATTAACCAGATATATGGCAGGCAGGGGTACTGGGGGCCAGGGAGGCTGGCAGGCCTCCCAGCCCCCAGCAAGACTTCACTCTATCTGGGCTCTCTGGCATTCTCTGGTGCTGCCCTCTGCTTCTCTTATGGTTCTGCTCCATTCTGCTTCTCTGCTTCTTCTATTCGTTCTCTACTTCTCTTCTTCTGTTCTCTGCTTCTGCTGGCATCCCAGTGACGTTGCCCTTAAAAGCCCAGTCTTGGGCCTCCCCGGTGGCACAGCGGTTGAGCGCTGGGTTGCAGAGCTGCCCGCGGCCTCTGCTGCGCCGGTTCGATCCCCGGCTGCTCCCCAGACACAGGAGGAGGGTCCCACATGGCGCGCAGACCCCTCCTGCCGCTCGCTGCTCCCCTCAGCAGGGTACTTCGGTCCTTCTGCCTGTTCTGCTCCCTGCTCTGGCTCTGGTGAATTCTCTCACCCTCCCGTGCTTCTGACTGTACCCAGTGCATGTATAAACAAGCAAGCAAACAAACAAACAAACAAATAAATAAATAAAAACATGCCTCTATTAAAAAAAAAAAAAAAAAGCCCAGTCTTAGCCCAGGTGAATCCCATCTACATATGCCCACACCCTACTCCACGTGCCAGCCATCAGGCATGCATTCAGACCGCAGGGTTCTATCATCTATCCTAATGGCAGGATGGCAGAAAAGCCTGATACTTTTTACCTTACCCTACGGATGTGTTCAGGGAGACAGATTTTAAAATGGCAGCCCATAAGTGGTGGTTACCTGGACTTAATGTTGGAATCACTGGGGCCTCCCTATTGGCACAAGGGGTTAAGACACAAACTTATGAAGCAATCCGCAGTCACTGCAGCACGAGTTTGATCCCCTGGCCAGGAAGCTACCCACATGGTGAAGCAGACCTCTTCTGACTCACCCGCTGCTCCCCTCAGCAGTGTATTTTGGTCAATCCGCCTGTTCTATTCCCCACTCTGTCTCTGGTGAATCCTCTCCCCACCCCCACACACCTCTGACCTGTACCCCAGTTCTTTTATGCATAACTAAATAACTCTTTATAAAAAATATTAGAATCACTGGGAATTTTTCATACTCAGAACTCTAGTAGATTTACTCTTTACTCATCATATTATTCATCATATTATTTATCCAAAGGAATCTTCTCATTTTACGGGAATGAAAATAAAGAACAAAACAGAAGCAAAAATCAATAACAAATCCTTAGTAAAACTTTCATGGTTTTGGTTCATTGTTTAACCAGAGGTCCCATTATCCTTTATTAGATGAAAACTGTAAGCCCAAAGCTGTGAAAGAGCCATTATTTCTTAGTCGTATTATAACCACAACCTACTTTATCTTATTTTTCTTGTAGCAAGGCAAAACAACAGCAACAAAACATTGTAGTAGGCAAGCTAGTTTATAAGACTTGGTCTTTTATTTTCATTTCTGTAATAATGAGATAGTCATAAGAATATTAGAACAAATAAAGTAGGAAACTCCAAATGTGTTCACAATCCTGCACTAAAGTATTCAGTGGTTTTTCATTGACATTTTAGGGCACAAAATAAAAATTTCTAACAAGACTCAATGTGCCCTGCTTGATCTGACCCTGGTCATAATTGTATTCTCTCACTTCCTCAATTCTGTCATTGTCCCCCACTATGAGACAATGCTTTTGCTGGTCTTGAATGCAAATTCATATTCCATCCTCAGAGCTCAGCATGACTTTATTAAAAATACTTTCTCCCCAGCCCTCTGACTCATTACATTTTGCCCCACTAGTAAGTTATTTACTCGAGCAACTAGGTAATGTCTTCTACTTGTTTTAAAGAGGTGTGTTCCATGCCTTTAATTTGCTTATATATCTGTATCACCTGCTGCTCACTTTGAAACATAGCAGGGACTGAAATAATCTGTGGACTCAAATTAGATTAAAGCTGACTTAAAATATATGGTACATAGTAAGTACTCAACATTAACGGCTACATTAATTTTGAATTTCTTTCACCTTTCTTCTGTTGCTTGATTTCCCATATCTCAGCTGTTTGAGGTCGTAACCTATTTGCCCAGCATTGGGGATGAAATCTGGAGTATGAGGGATGAGCTACTGTAAGCAACAGGAGCTTGATGCATGTCTGTACCTGTTAATGATGATGATATCAGAGCTGCCTGGTGGCTAACATCTAGAACTCTGACTTGGCCTCATTGCCACTGTAAACTAGGTTAACTTTCAGTGCATACCATCCTAGTTAAAACAGTTAATGTACATTTCAAAAATTCATAAAGTAAGTTTTCCATTTAGTTTAAATGTTTATTAAAAATGACTTGTAATGCCATGGGCACCTTTAGAAAGCTGAAGTTTTAACTCTTAGTTCAGTCAGAAAAAGCTAAAGGCTATTTGTCAGCTAGGATACACGTAATGGTACTCTCAATAGTTAGCTGTTGTTTATCTTTTAGTGTGGTCTCTCAATCTGCCAGTTAATAAAATTATCACAGAATTGGAGAGTAAAGTCACAAACACTGGAGGAGATAGAATTAGTCTGTATTTACTACTTACAGCTGTGAGACATTGGGCCAATTAACCTTTCTAGACTTCGTTTTTTTATCTATAAAATTGGTTTGTTCGTTGAATCCCATTTACATTGTTGAAAATAACAAATATCTTCTATACCGGTGTTTTTTTTTTTTTAAAGATTTATTTATTTATGCAAGAACCAGGGTATAGGCCAGATGCACAGGAGGGTGAGAGGAGTCAACAGAGACAGAGTGAGGAACAAAACAGGCAGATTGACGAAATACACTGCTGAGGGGAGCAGCGAGCGCGACAGGAGAGGTCTGCCACACCATGTGGGACCTTGCCAGCTGGTCAGGATCGAACCCGCGCTGCAGAGGCTGCGGATAGCTTCACAGTGCACGCTCAACCGCCTGTGCCACCAGGGAGGTCCTCTACTGGTGGTTCTTGATGATGGTGAGAGGGAAGGATTTTGTCTCCCAGGAGACAATGCCTAGAGATATTTTAGTTTCTCACAATAGGAGGTTGGCTGGGGGAAAGATGGTATACCACTGGCTTCTAGTGGTGTAGAGGGCAGGAACAGACATGGTGCAGGTTTTCTAGGATCCAGCAGACCGGATAAAGGAGGAGTCAGAGTGCTTAGTGGCTTTTTGCAGGTCTTTTTATTGGGATTTACCCAGTACACAGCAGGCAGGGGTGCTGGGGGGCCAGCAGGCCCCAGCAAGTCTTCTCTATCTGGGTTCTCCGGCCTTCTCTCAGCTTCTGCTTCTCTTGCTTCTCTCTTGGCTTCTGCTCGTTCTTGGCTTCTGCTGGCGTCCCCGTGATGCCGCCCTTATAAGCAGTCTTAGCCCAGGTGAATCCCATCTACCTATGCCCACACCCTACTCCAGGTGCCCACCATCAGGCATGCATTCGGGACCTCCAGGATCCATCATCTATCCTGATGGCGGGAGGGCAGAAAAGCCTGACATTTTACCTTACCCTACAAGTGGGTAGGGGCCATAAATGCTGGTTAATATCCCACAATGCATAGGACAATCTGTAAAGAATCATCCAGTCCAAAAACTTAGTGGTGCTCCTGGTGAGTGCCTGTAAGGTTAAGAAATACTATTAATAGTGAAATAGGTAAGATAATCACTGCAGTCACTAAAAGAATGAGCTAGATCTATGGGCCAACACAGGAACATTTCCAGGGGATGCAATTAAAATAAGGAAGACAACTCAAACATATTTATATATGAATATAATATTCATATATATATATAATCCATTAATTACTGATCTCCTTTGTGTCCATGTGTGTAAACATACACATGTGTAAGAGATCTGGGAGGACACATATCAACTTGTTCATCAGTGTCACTATGGGAAAAGACATGTAAGGGGGTATTTTTATTTCTTACTGGACATACTTCTTTATTTTTCTAACCAGAGGCACTACATTTATAATATTCAAAACTTTTGAAAATAAATTCCTAATACTTACAGTTCCTATAAAGATTAAAGTAGATAATGCAAGTAAAATATTAGCACAGTGCCAAAATATAGTGCCAATAAAATGCATAATTATTGTTCACTAGGAAAATAAGTAGAGAGAATTAGTCTAGGAAGTGAAGGTGTATGGATACGTATGGTAACATAAAGATTTCATCAATGATTTTGCTGAGCTGCAGATATGGTAGAGTTCAGTTTTTTAAAAATCAAATGTTATACTGTGCTTCCTGAAAGAACTCTTCAATTTTATTTCATTTTGTGCACACGTAAAAAGGTAAACATACAAGAAATAAAATGGCAACTCAATAAATTGGAGACATTGGTGATCCTGTCCTTCCATACCCTCATTTCTGTCAGGAGTTGGTGATACAGCATTTTTCAAGGAAGATTTAAAATTAAAATATAACTCACACAGAAAAATATAAAACCCACAAGTGTACAGCTAGATGAATTTTCAAAATGAACATATTCATGTATTCACCACTTAGCCCCCCCAAAATAGAAATTATCAGCATTCGGAATTCTCCCACAAGTAACCTTATCATGACTTATAAAATCAGATTAGTTTTGTATGTGTCTACATTTTCTATAAAGGGAATACTATAATACATATTCTTTTCTGTTCCACTTTTTTAGCTTAACATATTTGTGAAATTAGTACATTAGATGTAACAATCACCAGCTTTTATTGCTGAACATATTTCATTGTATGTATATATAACTTTTCCACTCTATCATGATAGACATTTGGATTTTGTCTAGTTTGGAGCAACTGTAAATAGTGTTGCTATGTATAATCTTGTGTATTTTGATACAAATAAGTATGGATTTCTATTTGTATATATGAAGGAGTGGAATTTTTTGGTGCATAGAATACGTGTGAATATCTAGCTTTAGTAGATGCTATTAAACATTTCTCTAAAGTGGTCCTAAGTGGTATTGTACCAACCATGTGGGAGAGTTTTTGTTGCTTCACATCCTCACCAAGAGTTGATTATTTTAATTTTAGACATTCTAGTGGGATGAACTCACTTAGGTATTTTAAATTACTTTGTAAGTCTTTTGTTCCCTTTTTACAAAAGGAGTTGGAAGGCATTCACCAAAGTGTTAATAGTAACTATCTGAGTGATGGAATTGTGGGTTATTTTGTTTCCCTTTATATTTATCTGTGCTTCAAAACTTGCAAAATAAACATGCTTTAATAACAAAAATAATGTAATAGTGACAAATACTTCTCAATCTTTTCAGCAATACATTCCAAGGATGTTAATAGATATTTCTAAAAATAGTTTTAAGGCTAAGTAAGTTTGACTTGCTTACTGCAAGATTGCTTAGCTATTTAAAAATGTTTTATGACTTCTTTAGGCATGGGTGCTGTACAGAGAGGGTATGCTTCTGGCACTTGTTTACCAAATACCTGTTTATACTTCATAGAAATAGTGGGCTGAGAAATATGATTTGCAAAATGCTGGAACGGGAGATGACAATATGTAAGAGATAAAAATAGACTGAAAAAAGGCAAATGATTCTTATAATAGATGGAATGTCCACAAATAAATCTCCCTTCCCTGGTTGAACATTTTGAGACTTCTTTTATGCTGCTTTAAATATCTTCTACTGTGAATCTAAAGTTATTCAAAATGTGAATCCAGAGTCCACTTTTAAGGTACTTTTTATTTTTCCTCCTATATTTGAAAGTTTGCTATCTGAGTGTCTTCTATTGTCTTAACACTGGAGCTAGATTACAGGTTTAAAATCATGTAGATATAGAGATGTCACAGGACCCACAGGATTATGGGGCTCAGGTTTTATTTGCTTTGTGGAATCCAAAGAATCAATCTATTTTACACCAAGAGAACATCTAGTCAGTTATACAAATTATAGATACTTATCACCATAGTTCAACAATAAAACACATTAACCAAAGGGTTCTACTCAGGCCAAAGACCAGAACTACTCACCGATATCATCAAGTTCCTAACATGTGTGCCAAAATTGCTGTATGACCAAGTATGTTAGCCAGCTTGGTAGGGTGATGAAAGGGTGTGGTTTGGGGTAACAGAAACTTGGGTTTGAATTTCAGTTCTACCTCTTATTCAGACCTGTGACTTTCTATGACTTTTAATTTCCTTAACTGTGAAATAAGAATCTCTCACTTCAGGTTGTTGTAAATTAATTAAGCTAGTATATGTGAAAGTGCCAGCCCAGTACTGTACCTGATAACAGGGTTCAAAGTCAATGAGGGTTTCCTTCTTGAAATGAAGGGTAAGTCTTGGCAAGGTTTCAGCTGATCTTCTTCCTTAATCAGACTGTGTTTATTGCTTCCACTCAGTTTCATACAATTGAATACCTTTGGTACCTTCCTGACTCATTCCTCACACCCCCAATTCTTTCTCCTGGCACCGTAACTTCTTTCCCTCCTCACATCATCCTGCTTTTCATTCAGTGCTTTAAGCAAATGTTGATAATTTTATAATAGAGTTTACCCTCTTTAATTTACAACAAAGAATACTTGAAAACAAAATAACACACAAATACTTAAGGATTCTGGCCAAGTTTTAGCACCAGATGGGTGGTGAATGTTTTGTTTTGGGACACATCTTGCTATAACCCTTTGGTTATGCCTAAAGATTGTTCATTCTTTAAAAAATTATTTATTGAACACTGACCATGCACTGTGTGCTAGTTACTCTAGGACAGACTAGTACCATGTTGTGCACTGTTTACTCCACAGGCTGGCCTTGGTCTTTCACTTTTCCCACACAACACTGAATGCAGAAATAAATTCCCTAAAAGGTTGATATTCTCAGTCCTTCTTCGGGACCTTTCCACACATAGCACTCTAAAAATAAAAGAATGCTGATAGTCAAAAATATCAGGAATATAAAATATCTGAGGTACTATTATATAAAATACCTGGGCTAATCTGTGCTTAACTGTTTTGGAAATAGGAAACAATTGCATTTTGTTGTTAATTGGCATATTAAAATATGGTATCTTTCCAAAGTGCTGATTTTTATCACTGTAGACTTCACAATCACCTCTTCTTTTCAAGCCCTCTAACTGGAGGATTTTACATCTTAGAATATTCTGATGTAGATATTTCTCAAACTCCCTGGACCTTTCTTTTCCCCTTTTAAAAATTTTAATATACTACAGAATGGAAACAATTTAGCAACTCTAGCATTAGAGTTCTGTTTCTTCTGAAGCTCAGTTAGGAAAGCCATAGCTCTCTTACTTCTTTAGGTCTGGGTCTTAATAAACTTACTGAGTAAATGAATCAGATGACTCTGGGGAAACCAGAAACTTCAAACAGAGTAGTAACACACATGTTAGGATTGCATAATTTTCTGTTGGTGAAGCTTAGGTGAATGATATAATCCCATGTCTCTCAAAGCAGGGTTTTCTTAGAACAAAATGCTTTTTTCAAAGTCCAAACCTAATATTAAACCCTTTCAAAGGGCAGAGCAGCTTTCTTAACTAACGTGTATGCTAATTATAGTTTTCATAGTCTATAATTCCATAGAACAGCTGAAAGCCCTGAATATTGATCTATATCACATAAAGTAAAAATGTCCCTTCTATCAGTACAAATAAAGAGATATTGCCAGAGGATCTGTATAGTTTATTTGACCAAAACCTATCAAACAAATTCCTCCAAACCAAAAAAAAAAAAAAAAAAAAAGAAACATTTTAAACCTAGTATAGGTAGAAATTCAAGACCTTAAGCCTTTATCTGTCTTTCTAGTGGTGATAATATTTAGGGATGTGGCTGTCACTGATGTCTACAGACATCCCGTGAACACTTAACTTTGTGTGCTTAAGTATCTTTTTAAAAAGTGAAACTATGTTTACAAAGTATTTGGACAATTAAATAGTCTCAAATCAGTTACTAATCATCTAACCTGACTATAGTAAATCAATAATATTTACTATAGACATGCTGAGAACCAAAATACTACATTGAGAGTATTTCCCAACTTGAGCTCACTTCTAAAGAATGTAACAAACTAAATTACATTAAAAACACTGTTATTACCTGGACAACCACTTGACATGGATTTTTCCTTTTGTTTTTGGCCAAGCAACTTTGTATAAATTAAGGACCCATTAAAAACTAGCACAATAAGAGGAAGAGGTAAAATAGTAGATAATAAATTTTGAATTTAAATATTAACTGTAAAAAAAGCTGGCTGGATTAAAGGTTAGTCCCTCAGGCTCCAAACTGAATCTCAATACTGGACCAATGAAACATTGCCAAGTACCTAGAAGTATATTTTTGAGTTAATTTATCTATTGATTACATCACTTGTATAGAGTACAAAGATAGGTGTTAACTCATTTTTTGATTGTTACAAGAAGGAAACATAATCAAAAAACAAAAATTCCAAAGTAGTTAGGATGAGCTCCAATAGAAACTATTCAGACAGCTTGATTAAATAAAGGCCTTTATTTTTTTATAGTCTATGGAACTGATTTCTATAGCTTTTCATTTTGACGGGTGCCTGCTATGCTTGCAATACACAAAGTTTTAAGTGTATAATATACACATATGAATAAACTAGTATTCCATATAAGACAAACCCGATAGAGAAGCTCTCCAATGTGGCAATTATTGCTATAATTACTCTGTAAATGAAATTTATTTGACAAAACCCCAGAAGGGAAAACTGTTCACGGTGAGTAAATCAGTTTTATCATAAAGATATGTTAAGTCTGTAGTACTGTTTAAAAAGACGAAGAGGTCTTTAGGGGTTTAGATACTTTTGATGGCATTATCTTCTCCCATTCATCATGCATCTGTTTTAAAAAGCTGATTTGCATGTATATCCAGCATCTTGTTCAATTGTGATTCTTTTAGGTAAGTCAGTATTTTCATAAGAAGAAAATGAGTTAATTTACTAAAGGCTCTTCATACTTAGAAGGCTAAAGGATGAGACATCACGTATGAGGCAAGTGAAAAAAAGGAACATGATTTTCCCTAATTAACCTATTTGGATTGTGGGTATATTTTATTCATTTAAAAAATATGAATCTGAAGAGCTCTGAAAACTGCAGTTTAAAAAAGGAGACAGCTATATATTTTATAGCTTGACTTCTATTAATATACATATATATCTTATATAAAGACTCAGTCTTTAAAATTTTATTCCTTTTAAAATTTATAAAATATGTGCAATTTGAAAATGTAAATTCACAGTAGGTATAAGTAAAAATCCTTTTAATACAACACAAATGGAGGCTGTGGATACTTAAGTTAGTCAAGTTCAGGGTCCAAATTAGACCCTGGTCTACTGATTTACAAGCTTGCACCTCCAGTTCAAGGTAAAGAAAGGCTTCAGTGTTCTGAACCACAAATCCCAAATATGCCAAAATTATATGGCCACTAGAGAGCTAATTAAGAAAAACCATGTTTAAATTATTTCCATGTTTTAAAGTCCCCCCTCTTCTCTGACTCAGGAGGCAGTTGAAAGATGTGACCCTAGATGTTTGTTTTCCCTGGAGGGGAAATGCAGTTGGAAGAGAAGTTCACAAAAACACCTTTTCACAAAACAGCAATGTTTTTATCTTTTTAAAAAGCACTCATGTCCAAACTATTGGGGGGAGGGTACTTTGTGCCTTCAAATGCTTGTTTTGGTGATAGCTAATTTCTTTTTAATGTGTCTCACCTGCCAATTTATAAATGACTTAATCAGAAGCCCTGCTTTTGATTTTGAATCCATCACAGAGCCTGGCACTGAGTGGCAGAGTGTGCGTCCAATAAATACTTGTGGAATGGAATTACACTGAAAAGCAGGATGAAGTAAAGCCATCTCCTATATGCCAAAGACTTTGGTGCGGCTGCATGGGTAATTTTCATTCTTAGAAAGCTTCGGTGTGAATGAAATGATTCCTTGGTGTGCACTTGAAAATTCTCCTGAAGCACTTTGCAAAAATTAAACATGCTCTCTTCGAGGTTGCAGGCACAGTTCTGCAGAGATGAGAAAGTGACAATGACATATCCGCATTGTTCAGAGTGGAGTAAAAGGTCAAAGAGCAGAAACGGAACCCTTAACCCACCCTGTGTTCTTTCCTAGGAACGTTCTCTGCGCATTCCTGATCATGCAAGTTCTCTGCAAGCAGTTGTCTGGAAACTGGCCCTATCCGTTTTGGGGGGCGGGGGGCGAGGGGAGTACAAGGAGAGGGGAGATCTGAGCAGAGGATTCTTTTGACAGCAGCGTCCACTGGGGGCCTTGAGGAGGCCAGGGTCACGGGGCCTTTTTTGCACCAGTGATCTTTAACGTCTTGCCTGCGGTTTACAACTGCTCTTTTAAAATACTTTCCTTTGGGACGGCCCCCCGCTTCTTCCTGCTCCCTCCCCCCGCCTTCCTCCACCCCCAGCGGCCCAAGCAGAGAAATGCCAGGGCTCCACGGACTGGTTTTAGAGCAATTAGCACGCCGGGAGGATTAAAACCCCTCCGAGGCCAAAACGACCCTCTCCCTTTGCCACGGCCAGATGACCCTGACAGCGGCCCCGGTTCTCCCTGCGGATGGAAAACCCACAGACACACACACAAACAAAAAACCTCAAGTCTTCCCTTCGGTTGCTACCCGCAATGACGTTTCCCCCTCGGGTCCCGCCCCTCGGGGGGCTTGGAATTTTAGGATTGGTGCAGAGCTTGTGGCGACAAGCCTCTGATTGGGCGGCGGGACGACGAGGCGTTGACGGACAGCAGGGACGGCCGCCGCGCCCTCCCGCCCGCCCTCCCGCGGTGCGCGAACGTGTGTGTGCGGTGTTATGCCGGACGCGAGGGAGGCGACCGCGACGGCCCCTCTGTTTATTGTCCCTCTCGGCGCGCGGATGTGAGCGCGTCGGGGCTGCGGCGCGGCCGACGAAGCGGCCTGTGAGGCAGCGGCAGCGGCAGCTACGACGGCGACTTGGGCTCCCCGCGGGGCCGGCCTCCGCCGAGCGTGAGGAAGGACAAGGCGCCTCCGCGTCCCGGCCGCCCCCGGCCGCCCGGGGCTCCCCGGCCGCGCTCCCCGCCCGCGCCCCCGGGCCTCGGCCCCTCAGCCTGCGGCGCCCGCGGGCGAGAGGAAGCCCCGCCGCGCCCCGCCGCCGCCCGCTGCGCGCTCGCGCCGCCTCGCGCTTCCTCCTCCGCCGCTTCTTCCTCAGCGGCCGCGCTAGGCCCGGGCGACGCGGCCGCCGCGCCTCGAGTTTGAGGGCGCCGGGCGGCGCGGCCTCCTCGGCGGGCTCGGCCGGGCGTCCGCCCCGGGTCTCGGCGATGGGGCGCGGGGGACGGCGCCGCTAGGAGCTCGGAGAGCGGAGCGGTCGGCGCGGAGCGGCGGGACCCCACGGCCCGCGGGCGGCGGGAGCGGCGGCCTCGGGGCCTGGGAGCTGAGGCGCCCGCCATGGCCAAGGCGGGCGGCGGCGGCGCGGGAGCCGGTGCGGGCGGCGCCGGCAACGGGGCACTGACCTGGGTGGTGAGTGGCGGGCGCCGGGGCGGGGGTCCGGGCGGCGGCATTGTTCCCGGCTCGCGCCCGGGAGGAATTCCGCCGGGCCGGCGGGTGGGGGTGCGGGGTGGGGGGGCGGGGAGAGGGAAATCCGGTCCCCAGAACGCGCGCCCCGCAGGGGCTTCTACCCGTAGAACACCCCCCCGTTCCCCGCCCCTTTTCTTTCTTCTCTCTACCTCTGTCGAGGCTCCCGCTGCAGGAGCATAATGTGCACTTGAAACTTTGGTGGACAAGCCGTGAACGTGACACGGAGACCCCGCACCCCCAGCCCCGCTGGCTCTTTTTCCCCCCTCTTGTCCCGACTCTCCCCCGGGCAGTCAGGCAGGAGAGGATGGGTATGACAATAAGGCGTGTGTGTCTGTGGAGGCCAGCACTTTTTCCTAATGTGGCTTGAGAAAATCTCGGAGAAAGGTGTGTGTGTGTGTGTTGTTGTAAATGCAACCATCTCTGCTGCTGTAATCCCTGGAAGAATGGATTCGGGGGAGATACCTGCACAACAATTTGCACTTGAATTGGGTGTCTCAGCTCAGCTGCAGGCGTATTCCTGCAGGCTGTTTCACCGCAGTTACGCCGTGCACGGTTCATCTGTCAGGTTGGGATGATTAAAAGAAGTGTTTAACTGCGTCAGCATCGCAGGTGAAGGGGGTTAGTTAGGGCTGGATGGAGTGCGCCCGGGAGGTGACTGAAGTGTTTAGTCCTGGAGTTAAAGGATTTCGGCGCTCAGTTCCTGCTGGGAAGTAGAAGTAGAGGGGGAAGACCCAGCGAGAGCTGATTCCCACGGCAGATCGATAATTCACTGGCATTTTACTTGCTCAGCAGAGAGTTCAGATCAGGGTCATTTCCTACACAAAAAAGCCCAGTTCAGTCAACTGACTAGGTACCCAGGAGAAAAAAGAAAAAAACCTTCCATTTTTCAGGGGCTTTTGAGGGACCCTCTTTTTGTCAAAATACCCAAGAAAACATTGATAGACATTTCTATTGCTTAATTTTTCTTTATCCTTTCTTTGGGTGAGGTTAAGGTGCATGGAGTAGCAGGTGTGCTGTATTACTGAAATTTCTTGGGGAAAAGTGTGTTACTGATTGCAGGAAAACATTTTAACCATTTGTTTGCATGTCAAGGTGCTTTGCAAACTTGCAGGGCTCCTGTTGAATCTTTCCTATTTTTGTCGAATAACATAGTATGAACAGACTAGAATTTGGAGAGATAAAGGTACTATCTGGGTGGACAAGGCGGAGAATGAATGAATGTAAAATGAAGGTTTTTTTTTTTTTTTGAAATTGACGAGCCTTACCCTTGTTACTAAAATCAAACAACTTCTGAGATGAAGTGAGATAGCCAGATGGTACTCATTCACTATTTAGAAATGTTGAGGCCTGATCAGTGTTTCCTCTGAGGATCTGATTCTGTAGTGGTAAATATTTCGCACTAAGATTGAATTAATTGGCTTTAACATTTTATAGCAGTATTTTAATGTTACTCTGTAAGTAATTAAACGACCACTTTCTTTCAAGCTTAGCAGGAAACGTTCCTGTCATTTACATAAGAAGTTTTGTGTAACTTTTAGCGTCTCATAATATTAGAAAGATTCCATGGAAATTAAAGTTGACTTACTAATTAAAGATTTTTTTTTAAAGATTTTATTTATTTTTATACAAGAGCTGGGGTACAGGCCAGAGACGCAGGAGGGTGAGAGGATTCACCAGAGACAGAGCAGGGAAGAGAACAGGCAGACTGACTGAAGTACACTGCTGAGGGGAGCATCAGGCTGGACAGGAGAGTTCTGCTGGGCCATGTGGGAATCTCCCTGGCCAGCCTGGAATCGAACCCGCATTGTGGAGGCTGCAGACAGCTTCACTGTGCGTGCTGCGCTCAAGCTCAACCCGTTGTGCCACCGGGGAAGGCCACTAATTAAAGATTTTTTTGCTGTGAAATGAATATAAGAAGTAAAATGAAGTGAAGTAAAAATCATGTAATTTTTTATATATAGATAATATCCTCCTGTTGAATTAGAAGTTTATTAAAAATGATCATCCCATAAGTACACTTCAAGATTGGATGCTTGCTCTAAATTTAAGTCAGGTTATATGAGCATCTTTATGTCCACAATATATATCATTGATCAGGCTAGTTTGATTTTTATAGGAAGAAATATAGTGAGATGGTTTCGAATATGGACTTAGATGTCAGATTGATTTAGGTTCAGATCCTGTTTCTAACATGTAATCAGTGAAACTTTGTACAGGGAAGCTAGCTGACTTTTCTAAATCTGTTTTCTTGTCTATAAAATAAGGTCACATTGAAAATTAAATAACCTGTAGCACAGTACTTGGTTTCATAAGTGTTTGTTATTGGCAAAGTTCAAGAAATGCACAGTCAGACTAGATTAAGTTGCTTTTACATCAAATGTCTTTAAAAGGGTGAAAAATTACTCCTTTGCACTAGTTCGGGGTTGTTGCAGTGGTTGTCTGTTTCTGAGGAGTAACTTTGCCTGCTGTATTGAAACTGGTGTTAGGTTGCCACCTGCTTGTGGGTAACAGGAAGATATAAAAATGGAATTAGTCCCCGATAGTGTTTTCCGGGTGGACAGGGTCATGTGTATATTACTAGTGCTGACTTCTGTGAGGATGCAGGTCGGTGTGTGGTGGTAACATTGTCACTGAATGAAATTTTACATTTCCATGTCTGAAGCCACAAAGCAAAATGGTTAAGATTGACATTGACTTCTCCTTTTAATAGAGTATTGTGTTTGATTTGCAGTATACTTACAGGATATTTTTAAAATTAAAAAAGAAAAATATAAATATAATAAAACTATTTTGAGTTAAAATTGACAATGACTAAAGGCTTCTCTGAAGGAAGCAGTTTCTTGAATTTTTAATTTGTAAAGCTTTAATTTCATTCAATCACTTGTCATGTTTAAGTGTTTATAAAAATAAACTTGTGGAAATACTAGATTACAGGTAATTGCTATGTTAATGGTGATCTTTTCTTTTCAGTTAATATTCTATTTTGGTAGATTAAAAAAGGCAAAAAGTCATCAGAATAGTATACATCAATGATCAACTCAGGGTCACCCGCTTATTCCTTTCTCATTATTTTCACACAAAGTAAATCTTAGAATTATATCACTTTGTACATATTTCAGCTTTTATCTCTAAAATGCAAATTTCTTTAAAAATATAAACCACAACTGACAGTTTTTAAACTTAAAATTCATTGAAATAAAAAACATTGTTTTCAACTGTGACTACTTATAGTTCAGGAAGCATGACTGAATATTGTTTAAAGATTCCTGTTTGCTTTAGTGGCTTATTATATTGCTGGTCTAAACCCCTGAGCTAGATTTTCAAGCCACTTTTTTCATAAAATTTGTTCCCTTCTGATTGAAATTTATTTCCTATAGTTCTCATAGTTTAGGTATAGTTTGGTTTTATCTCTTCACTGTCTTCTGTTTGTGATGTTTGCTTTTGTCAGTTTGCCTGCTTTCCACCAGGAACCCTTTTTATCACTATAAATCTTATTTACTTTTTTAAAAAAAGATTCATTTATTTATGCATAAAAGAACTGGGGTGTAGGCCAGAGCTGTAGGAGGGTGAGAGGATTCACCAGAGACAGAGTGGGAGCAGAACAGACAGATCTACTGAAATTCACTGTTGAGTTGGGAGCAGCAGGTGAGACAGGAGAGGTCTGCTGTGCCATGTGGGTCAGCTCCCTGGCAGGGACTCAAACTTGTGCTGCAGTGGCTGCTGATAGCTTCATAGTGCTGACACTTAAACCCTGTGCCACCAGGGAGGCCCCTAAATCTTAATTACTCTTAAAGTAGCTGAGTCTCACCAAACTTTCATTCCCAGTTTATATTCCTCTTTTTCTGTTGGTTTTAGAAATTATAAAATTAAAGTCTTTTATTATTAAGTCTTTTGTAAATGTCATTTTCATGCATGATAATTTTGTTAACAAATTAGCTATAGACTCCTGAAGTCAGTAGTATAAAATTGTTTGTAACCTTCATAGTGTTTAGGATACCTTAGCCATTCTCAGTTGTTAACAGTTTGGGAAATTGACATAGTAACTTTCTGAAAAGTCATTAATAGGAAAAGCTGTTAGATAGCAATGTTCCTTAGACACATTCTTAAAATAACATAATAGCAATATTTAGAAACATTTTGGCAAGTTTTTGTGAAGAGAAGTAAATATGTCCTCATGTAGTTTCAGATCTGTTAAATGCTTAGGTTGTGGCAACAGTTGCATTTTACTAAGTAGGATTAAAAAAATAAGCTTTTATGTTTAAAAATATTAATTCAAAATAGGATCTCATTTTAAAGAAAAGGTGAGATCTATATAATTATTCCCATTGGCAGAGAAGAGTTTAGAGATTAGGTAACAAATTATTAAGCACATGACTAAGGCAAAGTTGGGATTTAAACCAGGTTTATATTCTTAACTGTCATTTATACTGCCCCCACTTTAAAAGCAGTAAGAGCCAACTTGTCTCTTATATCCTGATGTAATGGGATTAAAAAAATCTTCTGGGATATACCTCTTTATATATCTTTCTTTTAAACTCTTTTACTTTTGTTAAAAAGCTAGGAAGTGCATTTCCTTGCCAGAAATTATGTGTAATTTGTACAGCATGTTTTCTTTAAGTGTTGGGCTATGAAATCACGTCACCTGATTTCATATTTCAGCTTCTTCGAGTACGAGCTTTGGGAAAGTATTTAACTTCTCCAGACCTCAATTTCCTTGTCTGTAGAAAGGGAATTATAATATAGCATCTATAGCATGGAGCCATTATGAGGATTGAGATTATCCACGATTCTTATAAAGCCTGATACATAATAAATTCATGGGTACATATCCGCACTGCCATGCCCCCTGCCTCAGTCTTTCTTTTATTTTTAGTCCAGTGATAGGTATTTTTGTTACTTTTGTTTGAAGGAAAATGTATTTTTTTTTATATTGGTGAACTGAT